AGTGAAAATCAAAGTGAACGAAGTGTTGTTTCAAGTGAGAATTTGTGAAGAAACAGGGAGGGAGAATGTCTATAGTCCATATATGTCATCAGAGGAGGAGGGAGAGTCCTCGGAGGCACTATGGGTGGAGGAATCATCTCTAGGTGAAAGTGACTCAGAATGGGAAGATAGGGAGCTCATAGAGGATTCCTTGTAATTTCCGGCGAGGAAGGCAAGAACGGAGGGGGACAATCAGCCGGTAGAGGAAGGAGGATGCACACCGGCGGGAAATTTTGAATCACCAGTGGAGGAAGCCAAAAAGGCAAAAGTGATAGATGGGATAGATGGGGAAGTTGAGTCAGATGGAGAAGCAAAGACAACTGGCAGCTGCCATACTAGGAAGGAGTATTCTAGCTCTAACAGCTACATAGAGGAGGTTGAGTCTCCACGGGAGCAGTCGACTGATGAGGAAAAAAAAGATTTACAACCTGATGCTGAAAGGGCCAGCATCAAGGCACCTCATCGGGCCCATATCGGGCCTTCTTAAGCAAACGGTAGACAAGAGGAAAAAGGACCAAGAAATCAGTCCAGCCCAAATGAGTCTTCAAATAGGATAAGGGACACAGTGGACAGCACTTGTCTAAAAGGTCAGAAGAAACAATCCAGAATCTCGGTGGGAGCAAAGGAGCAAAAAGCAAACAGAAACACAAAAGAAAGTGAACGGGATAACGAGGAGAGAAACGAAGAAGCTAGAGTTGATGCGATTAAGTTTTGGGAAAGGCTAGCAAGTGAGGAAGAGTTAGCACAGCTGAGAAAAAAAGGAAAACAACAGAGAAAGTCGAGGAAGAGCAAAGGAGATCGAAAAAAGAAAGAAGAAAGAAAGAAGAAACAAGTAGTGGTAGGGGGCATGGAAGTGGGTACGGGCATGGAAGTGGGTACAGAAAAATCCAAAGAAGGAGATGATCAAACGGAGAACTCAACCAAAGTTTCACAAAAAGGGATCTCCATTTCAGTGAGTGACATCAACAATTGTAATAGGAGGTTTATGTTGAGATCGTGGGAAGAAGAAGCAAGTGAACTATGGGCAGTGGGAAAAAAATTGGGTTTGGTTAGAAGGGGTAACGAGGAGGAAATAATCAAAAGATTGGGGGAAATGGAGAAGAGGGATAGATTGGCTCTAGCAGAAAAGAATCGGAAGGCTAGAGCAGACACGGAGGGGCAGGAATTACTTAGATGAAGGTCCTTTCTTATAATGTGAGGGGGTTAGGAGGAAGGGGGAAGAAAAGAGAAATAAGGGAGATGGTAGCAAAGGAGAAATTTGATGTGGTGTTCATTCAAGAAACCAAGATGGACTCAATTGACGTTAGGACGAGCAGAGCAATCTGGGGAGTAGGGGATGTTGACTGGGCGATGAAACCGGCAATAGGTAATTCAGGGGGTTTAATGTGCTTCTGGAACCAAAATAGTCTCAAAGCCTGCAACAAGTTTGAAGGACACGGATTTTGTGGGGTTGAAGGTTAGTGGGGGAGTGGAGAGGTACCCTGTTTATTTATTAATGTATATGCACCATGTGACAAGCAGGAAAGAAGACGAGTATGGGCGGAATTGCAGGTTATGCTGGGCAATTACAGTGACAGATTGTGGTGTATTGGAGGGGATTTTAATGCTATAAGAAGTGTAGAAGAGAAACAGGGGAAATATATTGATCTAGGCAGTATGGATGATTTTAATGATTTTATTTCAAGCAATGAGCTGGTAGATTTACCAATGAGAGGCAGGAAGTATACATGGTATAGGAGTGATGGCCAGGCTACGAGCAGACTAGACAGATTTCTGGTCTCCAAAAATCTCTTGCAAAGCTTCCAAAATGTGGTTCAATGGGGATTGAGTCGATCCTTGTCAGATCATTGCCCAATAATGCTGCAATCAAAAGTTGAGGACTGGGGTCCGAAGCCTTTTAGATCTATAGATAGTTGGCTGACACATCCGGAGTTTGAACAGTTTGTGAAGGAAAGATGGAACAGCTTTGAAGTTAGCGGATGGGGTGGGTTTAGGCTTAAGGAGAAACTAAAAATGTTAAAAAAAGATCTGAGAATCTAGAATAAGGAGGTGTTTGGCGTAATTGATACCGGAATTGAGGAAGCAAGGGAGGCAATTAAACTGATTGATGAGAAGAATGACATGGGGCAAATTAGTGAAATGGAAAAGAATGAAAGGGCATCCAGTTTTAGACATTTGCAAGAATGGGTGGACAAGAAAAGTAATCTATTGTTCCAAAAAGCAAGACTGAGATGGTTAAAGGAAGGGGATGCAAATAGCAAATACTTCCACTCTTGCGTGGCACGACGAAAGATCCAGAATAGCTTGAGTGGGATAGTCCAGAATGGCAGTTGGATTGATGAGGTTCAAGAGGTGAAAACAACAGTGAAAGATTTTTTCAGAGAAAAGTTCAAAGAAGATAGTTGGAACAGACCAGTACTGGAAGGTATAAGTTTTAACATGATTAGTGAGGAAGAGAATGCCATGTTGGTTGCAGAATTTGGTGAGGAGGAGATAAAAGAGGCAGTGTGGAATTGTGGAGGTAGCAAAAGTCCCGGCCCTGATGGTTTCAATTTCAACTTCATTAAAGGGATGTGGAGTATATTGAAAGAGGATATTTGTGAGTTTATAAGAGAATTCCATAGGAATGGGAAACTTGTCAAAGGAAGTAATGCATCGTTCATAGTGCTAGTTCCAAAAAAGTCAAACCCGCAAGGTATGAACGACTTCCGCCCTATCTCTCTGATTGGTTGCATGTATAAAATCATCTCAAAGCTATTGGCAAATAGATTGAGGAGGGTGATGCCTAGTATTATTAATGAAAGCCAATCAGCATTTGTAGGGAATAGGCAGATAACTGATGGCATTATCATAATAAATGAGGTGTTGCATGATATGAAGAGGAGCAATAAGGCGGGACTAATTTTCAAAGCTGATTTTGAAAAGGCATATGATAATGTGGATTGGGGCTTCTTAGAGTTTATGATGGATAAGTTGGGATTTAATGTGAAATTGAGGAATTGGATGAAAGAATGTGTATCAACAGCAACAGTGTTTGTGCTTATAAATGGTAGCCCAACAGAAGAGTTCCATGTTGGAAGAGGACTTAGGCAAGGCGACCCTCTGTCACCTTTTTTGTTTTTGATGGTAGCAAAAGCTCTAAGTGGCCTAATGAGAAAAGCTGAGGAGATCGGAATGTTGAAAGGAATTCAGGTTGGCAAAGGTGAGCTCCGTATCTCACACTTACAGTTTGCGGATAACACCATTCTAACATGTGAGGCAACTGAGGAGAGTGCATAGGCAATGAAATGTGTAATGCGATGTTTTGAGCTGATTTCTGGCCTTAAGGTGAATTTCGATAAGAGCTGGCTTTGCGGAATGAACGTAGATGATGATTTTCTTGGTGTATTTGCATCAATTATGAACTGCTCGGTGGGGAGCATCCCATTTAAATACCTAGGGGTCCCAATAGGAGCAAACCCAAACAGAATTTTGACATGGCGATCGGTGATTGATTGCATTAGGAGAAGACTGGACAGTTGGGGGGGAGGAGCATTATCTTTCGGAGGTAGAATTGTTCTTCTCAATGCGGTATTATCCTGCTTACCCGTGTACCTCTTTTCTATATACAAAGCCCCAAAAAAGGTAATCTACATACTCACTAAACTTCAACGCAATTTTTTATGGGGAGGGGGGGAGGGTAAGAGAGGAATCGCATGGATAAAATGGGAGGAGGTATGTAGGAAAAAATCAGAGGGAGGTCTAGGAGTTAGGAATCTTGAGAGTTTTAATAAAGCTTTGCTAGGAAAGTGGAAGTGGAGGATTTTGAGGGAGAAAAAATCATTGTGGA